AAGCTAAGAATCAATGCTATTATTCCAGAGAAAACTATGAGATGTGAAACTAAATATCAATAAATATAACAATTATACTGATATTATATTGCTATATTAATGTCAATTATTTTATATAACTAAATATATGTCTATTGTATTAATAATATAAATTATATTTTCTTTAAATATTTCAAAATCTTCAAATGACTTCTATGGTCAAATTAAAACAGGTCAGATTAATACATTCATACTTGGGTCAGTTCAAAGCAACATTTAGAACTATTTTCTTAAATTTGACTTATTCCATATTTATAGGCAACTGCTCACAAAACAACAGACATATCATTTACTAGAAGCTTCTAAAAAAAAAAAATCTTTCAAGAAAGGAAGACTAAAAGTATGCTTCTGGCCCTGGCCAGGTGCTCAGTTGGTTGGAACATCATCCCATATGCCAAAGGTTGCAGGTTCGATTCCCAGTCAGGGCACATAACTAGGTTGTAGGTGTGATCCCCAGCTGGGGTGCATATGAGAGGCAATAGGTCAAAGTTTCTCTCTCATATTGATGTTCCTCTTTCTTCTGCTCACCCTGACCCCTGCCACTCCCTCCCCCTTCTTTTCTCTCTAAAAATCAAAAACCATAAACTTGGGTTAGGATTTTCTTAAAAGTATGCTTCTGATTAAGTCTTCTTTTAATCGAAAAGTTACTAATTCATTTAAGCTTTTCCTTTAAAAACTATCAGTAGGTATATTTAGCCCTTTTGCCTTACTAGACAGGAAAGAAAACATTAATCTTTCATCTAAGAATATGATCTGTACATCAAATAGTAAAAGAGTGGCAGATGTTTGGAGAGTTTAGTTGTTAGATATGAATTCATGTTGACAAGCCAATTAATTACTTCAAAGTTAAAAGCAGCAACAGTGAACTGCTCACTAATCTTCAGCTATTCGATATCAGAATGTCACTTGGCATACTTAAGACTCAACTGAAAGATAAATAGCATGTAGCAGCTGAATGAAATAGCCAAAACTTTTACAAAGTAGAGTGGAACTGCACATTTTACCGTGTGAAGATCTATTCATGTCTAATCAGCACTTTATTCTACCTATTGCATTCAACTTATTGTCCACTAATTTTAAGAAAGTAAAATGGATCCTAGAGGAAAGTAATACCATGGTTCAATCCTTTATAGCTCTGATTTCAAAAACTAACAAAATAAGGCAAATACTGGGTTGGCCAAAATGTTCATTTGTTTTTTTCCTAAGATTGCTCTAGTAGCACTTCGTTGTCTGTAACTTCATTGGAAACAATTTTGTTATAGTGTATTGTGACAGCTGTCATATCAGTATGTATTTTAAAAAACATCAAAATCGGTGAATTCTGTGTAGCCATTTTAATACTGAAGATGGAAGAAAATAAGCAGTATGTTTGGCATATTATGCTATATTATTTCAAGAAATAAAAGTAAAAATGCAACTGAAATGCAATAAAAAAAATTTGTGCAGTGTATGGAGAAGGTGCTGTGACTGAATGAATGTATCAAAAGTGGTTTGCGAATTTTCCTGCTGGAGATTTCTCACTCCACAGTCAGGTAGACCAGTTGAAGTTGATAGTGATCAAATCAAGACATTAAGAACAACCAACATTATACCATGTGGGAGACAGCTGACATACTCAAAATATCCAAATCAACAGTTATTGGTGAAAATGAAAAATGTCTTCTCTTTTATAGAAAAAACTGAATGGATTTTTGGCCACCCCAATCAAAGAAAACAATGAAAGGGCAGAGAAACCTCAATAGCTATGAAAATAATGCAGCATTAAAAAGTGTTTTAGGCCCTGATGGGTGTGACTCAGTTGGCTGGTCATCGTTCCACAAAGTGTAAGTTCACCAGCTGGATTCCCAGTCAGGGCACATACCTGGGTTGCAGGCTTGGCCTGGTCAGGACACATATAAGAGACAATCAATCAATGTTTTTCACATTGATCTTTCTCTCCATCTCTTTCTCCCTCCTTTCCCCCCTCTCTAAAAGTAAATAAATAAAATCTTTAAAAAAAGTAGAATCTTTAAAAAACGTTTTAGGTACCATCACATAGCTATTAAATTGATAAAATAAAAATTTAAAAATATTGTGGAGACACAGAATCATTTAGCTAATGGCATTGTAAATCAAAACTATCTTTCTTAAAATAACCATGGTAAGATTAAATAGAGCTATCAAATTGCTTCTTGTCTTTGACCTAGTAATTTTATATCTAGGAATATGCAAGTAATTCCTGCTTAATACACTCTAGCAAAGCTATTTATAATAGAGAAAAACTGGGAGCAATCTAAATGCTCTACAAGCAAGAAATGGTTAAGCAACCCAAAATACAGTAATAGAATGGAATACTATATAGTCAATAAAAACTATTAAGAATGTCCACTATTCAAATGTATGTACATGTAATGTTAGCAAGCTAAAAGAAAAAAAAAGTAAGCCACAGAACACAATCAAAGTGTTTATGAATGCTAATAAAGATCATAAATCAGAAGTCAGACAATATAAATAGAATTTCACGTTCACTAAATTTCTGTTTCTCTGCTGCGAAATTGAACATAAAACATTTTGAAAGGGAAAGATGACCAAATCTTCAGGGTTGTTTTGACTATCTTTCAACGGTGAGCTAAAGTTCAGGACATGAACTTTACGGTACATACAAAGACTAAACTACATAAACTACATTTATGCTGAAGATATACATCCTTGTTTCATCTCTATACTTATGAATATGTTACAGGATCACAAAGATACTAAGTACTGTACTTTTCTCTGAGAAATGCATATAAGAATCATGTATTATTATCTCCATGTTACAAATGGAAAAACTGATGGAAACTATCAATGACTTACCCAATTCATCCAACTCTTGATTCCCTACTCTAACAGCATCTTCTGGAAATAATTATTCCCATTTCGCAACTCCCATTTTTAGTTTTTAAAATACGTCCCTTCAGCTTTTCTGAATAGTGTAAACAAGGCTGTTTTTAACAAATATGGAATGGATCAGTGTATTATTGTTAATACACTGACTGAAGCAATGAAATTTTAAACTGTTTACTGCTTAAACTGTTTATTCTTTGAGAGGCAAAGAGAAGAAATATTGAAGTTCACCTCAGATTCCCTGTACCAGTTAGTCAAATTGTAGAGAGAAAAAACTGCTAAAAGCACACCTTTCTTCTCATCAAAGAGTTGTTTCCATTGACCAAGATGTGAAAGCAACTGGCATCAAAGATGAAATCCAACCATTTCAGAAAAATAATGTGCCTTGCCTGTTTTATCTCTGTACTTTTGAAATTTAAGAATCCAAAGAACTCTGAAATTAGCCAAAAGTCAACCAAAAAGTAGCTACTTAAAGAAGGACCTGTTGAGGAAACAAAAATTATCTAACTGGCAGACCACCTGTAAATTTCACTTATAATCATTTTCATAAGTTCATCTCAAATGTCATTTCTTCCTGTAGCTTTCCCTTAAGACTCCAATCCACAAATGTTTCTTCATTTCTGTTTTAGAGCACTTTAGACATACATCTTCAATAACATCAGATTTCAATAATCTGTTCAAACATGTCCTTTACTTTGAGGTTCCTAGAAGACAGAGATACATTTTTTTGTCTCTGAGGCACTAGGATTACAGTACACAATTGCTATTAAATTTAATTTAAAGACCACATACTAGGTTTTAAAGGCTGATTACTAAAATATTTAGTAGAAAAACCAGTGTGCTTGGGAAACTAGCTCTGCCTAGCACTATATTCTTTCAGTCAGAACTCTGAGTCAAAGCTTCTTGCACTACAAAGTGTGAGAGCTCCGGTTTCACATGCTTGACTTGAGTAAAAATTAAAGATACTTAGACATTTTCAGACACCCAAATTTTTAAACAGAAACTGTAAAATGCTATGAAAAACTTAATACCTTCTTTAATTCCCTAAAATCAGCTCAATATTAACAGCTACACTAAAGCTGGCAATAAAAAAATAAACACCAGCTTTTAAAAAAAATCAAAGTTAGTAAATAAACTTTACAGATTGTAAAAGTTTGCTAAATGATTATTTGGGTCGTTAAATTTATTAATGGGTTCTAAGAGATCCTCAAGTCCAAATGTTAAGTTTTACCAATTTAGAATAATTATGTATGTATATCATTATGCTCTATGCCAAATGATCTAAAAGGCGTTCACTTTTACTTATGTCTCTTTTGCTAGCGGTAACACTGAAAACCTTGACAGTGATGGTCTTAAGAGAATGTTTTCAAGACTTGCTCTAGGAAGAAAACGTCAGTTTCTCCTGTCCTCTGCTCCTTTGAATGTTTAAAACAATCTCAGTGAAACTAAATAATGGAATCGTATATATCTTTGTATATTAAAATTTTTATACTTAAAAAATAGAAATTACCTGTTTCAACCATTACAGCAAGTCTTTATTAATTCAGTTTACGCAGTTCAAAGTGTTATATCCCACAATTAAGGAACCGGCTGCTAATCATGAAGTTAAAATATCTAAGTTCTAGAAAGAACAAGTTCTCATCACCAACGAAGAGTTCTCGTAAAGTACAATAAAACAGGAAGCAACGGAGCAAAAAGTTACTGGAAGACCTGGTTGTCCACTCGCTTGGAGTGCGTGACACAGGGCTGTGAGCGTACACTCTCACTCATGGGACGCTTGCTGCTGACATGCAGGCATCCAACTCCAGGGGAACGCCATACATACATGGCCCTTGTTCCAGGAAAACCGAATACAACTGGTGCAACCTGGTCCGCCAGACGGGAGAAGAGCCTGAGGCCCACAGTCCTCCAGAATCTAAACCCCTGCAGGGGCCATTCCAGAGCCTCATATCCACAGCCAGTACAAGCACCAAAGCAACCGGAGACATTTGACCCCACCCACTGCTACACCCCCTTCCCCTCGAACCCCAGCTCTTCTGAAGAGGTAAGTTTCCCCTTCCGACAGTGCACCTGGAGGTCCACCAGGCCTCACCCACCTTGCACTCGTCACTCTTTTTTTCTTCTTCGCAGAAGTTGACCGGTGCCAGGCCGGGCAAATAGAAAGCCGTGCACAGACGCGGGCCCGGCGTTGCCCCCAGCAGGAGTAGCGATAGGAGCAATAACCCCGGCCACCGAGGTGGAGACGACGCCGAGAGCCTCCCGCTCATGATGGCTATTTCAGGAAAAAAGGCAGACGAGTCGAAGGGGAGAAAAGGGAATGAGGGAAGGGAAGGCTCAGAGACAACAAGGTCGCCCAAGCTGAGTCCGGCCCCGCGTCGGACAGTTCCGGTTGCGCTAGAAGACACAGCGGATCCCGCAACAGAAACCGAACTGGACTTGGACAGAGCATGCGCAACGCCGCCTGCACATGCTCAGTGAGAGCGGCCGCAAGCGCCGCGAAGAGTTTCCCGGAGGGAGCATGGAGAAAATCCACTCTCCAGGTTTTCGGCTGGCTGGCTTGAGGGTTTCTGGGAGAGACGTTTCGGCGTTCACGTTCCTATTCTAAGTTCCGATCTAGAGCTCCCTTGGGGCGCTGTGGAGCGGTCACGCTTGCCTGGCACCCCCAGGCTCGTTGCTTTGTCTCAATTTCCCTTACACATCTTGAAGTTTTCTCACCGCCCTGTTCCCAGCATGCCAACCTATATGAAAGAGCTGGTGCTCCAGAGAGTACTTGCTGATGGAAGCCGAGTTGGTGGCAGGAAGAAGTTCGGGAAACATCTGTTTAGCAGCAGGACAAGAAAATAAATGGGGAGGAACTAGCTCTAAGTCCTCGCTCAAATAGCTACACAGAGGTGTCTGCATGGACAGCTTCCAAGCATTCCTGCGTAGGACAGTGATTGCACAAAACACACAAGACCTCTTGAAGAGGTGGAAAAACGGGAGTAGACAAATAGAAGAAGCTAGTGTTGACACTTTGCAAAGACATGGGCACACCCTACAGCTTAGTTTGGAAAGGAGTCCTAGCGAAACAGAAATCCGCTGATTATCCCTACGTTTCTGTCACTTTTCCTATTAAAGTGATGTGTCGTCCGTGTTTGTATGTGCATGTGTGTGTACGTGTGTGTGGTACATTTTCTGAGTATTTTTCAAGGATAAATTTGCTTTTCGTGACATTAAATCAATTAATCTGAGCCTAGATAGTTCAATGAATACTTCGGAAGAGTGCATCAACTTAACCACCATATACCAAGGAATCGACACCATGGATCCAGCTCAGAACTGAAGAATGGGATAGTTTGATAAATGGACAATTCAGAAAAGCATGCAGCCCCATGCAATCATATCTAACTCACTGTGGATGTTTGCACACACACACCCAAAGTTGATGACATTCATTAAATTTTCAGAGGGATCTAATACCCTGCAAAAAAGGTTAAGAACCATTGTTTCACATTGTAGGGTAATCAGAACAATGAAAGGTAAAATTCTTGCTTGTAAAGGCAGTTTACACTAAGAGCTCCAGCTTTGAAAAATTCTGAGATGCCCAAAATCAAACTACAGCAGGCTGGAGGGTGGAAGGAAGAGACAAGAAGCTGAAACCAACAAGACTGATAATATTCCTGAATATATGTAGAAACTTTCAATTAAGTTCCAGGTGGGATTTCCACACTTATTCAGAGAATACCCTACCACCAGGTGCTGCTCCAATACATCTTCCAGACTGTTGTTCACAACTAATCCAAAGAGCAAACACTTCTTTATCACCTGTCCCAGAACTAGCCCTACTTCACCTTCTCCCAGCCCCTTCATCTACAGCTAATGTAAATTCCTTCAAACCAATTTACATCTTTCTTTTCCCCAAGTTTGTATAAAAGAGCACTTTGCATCCCGGAACAGCAGACGTTTGTCTTCTTCACCTAGCCCTGGTTTAGACTGCATGCCCCAGGACCTGGTCCTTTATCTGGCTAGTATATTTCTCAATAAACCCTTTCTTTCAGAAAAGTTTTCGGTGGCTAAAGTTTTTAATACCTTTCGATACCACTCTTCTGCTTAACGCATGGTATACCGCACTACCACTATTTGCAGTTAGTGTGGTTAATTTACTTTTTCACTCCCCATGTATATGTAAACTCCATGGAGTAAGGCCCTCATCTCTACATCCCCAGAATCTATAGCAGTGTCTGGCACCTAAAGGAGACAAGAGGGGCAAGTAACCGGAAAGCACTACAGGACTGGTAGCGCCAAACCACGGAAAGTCCAGGTCAGAATTTAGAATCGTAGACTTCTAGCAGTGAAATAAACCTCAGGTTTTCCAGACAAGTTAACCTCTTCCGTCTAGAGAGGAAAGGGGAATGATCGACTGCTCGCAGCCGTTCGGTTACTCATTGAGGTTGAGCCCGCAGCAGCCTGGGAGTCCAAATGGTTCCCCAACCTTTTTGCCTCCAAACCACACAAGCCCTTCAATCTTCCGATCTAAGCAAAAGCAAAACCCCGGACAAGTGGAGTATTACTCAATAGAAATGGTTTCTGGACTCCTGACACACTCCGGGTCGTGGAGTGCGTGGATGCGCATGCTCAAGGCTGGCCCGCCTACCCAGCCAGCTCCTACCCAGCATCCTCTTCTTGGCTTCGGCCTACAGAGTTCAGACACGTCATCTCTCGCGGCCAGACTGGTGGGAGGAGCGAGGGACGAGCTAGGCCGCGGGACGGAAAGGACTGTGTACTTCCGGATCCGGCGTCTCCAGGGAAACGCCTCTCCCGCTGTGTAGTCCCTTCGTTACCTGGCAACGGGGTCTGAGCGGAGCCTCCCGCGCGCCGCTCCGAACCTCACCTAGGGCACAAAATAAAATCTCCTTTTCTTGTAGGTACTTCCGTTTTGGGTGCCGTCAAGTATAAAGGCTGAGCAGGGGTTCCAATTACAAACTAGGAAGAAATGAAGTTTTCCTTCCATCCCTCCCTAGAGGAAGAAATGAAGTTTTCCTTCCATCCCACCCTAGACTGTGATGCCCCCTTTCTGAAGGTACTAATGCTTCTGACTCAGCTGTAAAACTTCAGGAATATAATTTATGTTGAGAAGAATAACATGGAAAGATGTTTAAAATACATTGTTAAGTGAAAAATGTATATAACAAAACAACATGCACATGCTGAGTTCACATTTGTTTTTTTTTTTAAATCTATATACACCGTTAAGAGAATGAAAAGAAAACCTACAGGCTGGGAGAAAATATCTGTAAATCACCTAGCTAACATAGGTGATTCAATATGAAAAGAACTCTCAAAACCCAATATTAAGAAAATAACCCAATTAAATTATGGTGAAAGGCTTGTACAGACACTTTACCAAAGAGGACATATGGACAGCAAATAAGTATAGATGTTCAACAACATTAATCAGTAGAAAAATGCAAATTAAAACTTAAAAAAGCATACACATTAACAACGAGCATCTATTTTGATAGCAAAAATTAAATATTCTGACAATATCAAAAACTAACAAGGATGCAGGGCATCTGGAACTCTCACATATTGCTGTTGTGAATGAAAAATAGTACTGCTACTCTGGAAAATAATGTAACAATATCTTGCAAAGTAAACATACCTATTTCCCATATGATCCAGTAATTCCACTCCAAGGTATTTAAATCCCAGATAAATAAAACCTTATTTCAGACAAAAATTTGTACACAAATATTTATAGCAACTGTGGATGCTAAAAAAAATATTGTTTCTTCCACTTTCTAAGTTATTCTAGCAGAGAGAGATTAATAGGAGAAAATCAAATTTTAATACATGTGCATAGGGAATTCACATAAGTGTGAAAAAACCAAGGACAATAAGGCAGTCCTGGGTATACACGATATTTTGGAATAAGAATAAAAGAAAGGGAATAGGATATTAGATTTCAGAAGTAAGAATGGACTATTTACAGGTAGTTGAGGAAGAGCTAAACACACATGGCAGACAAATTCTTCCTAGGCAACTAAGAAACAATGGGATACAAGGGGTATCTAGCTAACAGGCCCCAACCTAAAGCCCTCCTATTACCTTACTTAGTTGAAGTTAGGCTAAGGCAAACATCCTAAAATTCCTTTTTTAAAAAGTATATTTTATTGATTATGCTATTACAGTTATCCCATTTTTCTCTCCCCTTTATTCCCCTCTGCCCTGCAACCTCCTCCCACCAGCATTCCCTTCCCACTTAGTTCATGTCCATGGGCTGTACATCTAAGTTCTTTGATTTCTCCATTTCCTATACTATTCTTAATTTCCTCCTATTTTCTACCTACCAATTAAGCTTCTTATTCCCTGTACCTTTTCCCTCATACTCTCCCCTCCCACTCGCTACTGATAATCCTCCATGTGATCTCCTTTTCTGTGATTCTGTTCCTGTACTAGTTGTTTGCTTAAGTTTGTTTTTGTTTTTGTTTTAGGTTTGGTTGCTGATAGTTGAGAGTTTGTTGTTACTTTACTGTTCATATTTTTTATCTTCTTTTTCTTAGATAAGTCCCTTCAACATTTCATATAATAAGGACTTGATGAACCCCTTGAACATGACTTTATCTGGGAAACAGTTTATCTGCCTTACAATTCTAAATGATAGCTTTGCTGGACAGAGTAGTCTTGGATGTAGGTCCTTGCCTTTCAAGACTTTGAATACTTCTTTCTAGCCATCTTGCCTGTAAGATTTCTTTTGAGAAATCAGCTGACAGTCTTATGGGAACTCCTTTGTAGTTAACTGTCTCCTTTTCTCTTGCTGCTTTTAAGATTCTCTCCTTATCTTTGATCTTGGGTAATGTAATTATGATGTGCCTTGGTGTGTACTTCCTTGGGTCCAACTTCTTTGGGACTCTCTGAGATTCCTGGACTTCCTGGAAGTCTATTTCCTTGGCCAGGTTGGAGTAGTTCTCCTTCATTATGTTTTCAAGTAAGTTTTCAATTTCTTGCTCTTCTTCCTCTCCTTCTGGTACCCCTATGATTTGGATGTTGGAATGTTTAAAGTTGTCCTGGAGGCTCCTAAACCTCTCCTCATTGTTTTGAATTCTTGTTTCTTCATTCTGTTCTGGTTGAATGTTTATTTCTTCGTTCTGTTGCAAACTGTTGATTTGAGTCCCAGTTTCATTTCAATCACTGTTGGTTCCCTATGCATTTTTTTTTATTTTACTTCTCATCGAGTTCACTTTTTCCTCTATTTTGAGACCATATTCAACCAATTCTGATTACCAGTGTTTTGAACTCTGTATCTGATAGCTTGGCTAGTTCTTCATTGCTTGGTTGTATTTTTTCTGGAGTTTTGATCTTTTCTTTCATTTGGGCCATATTTCTTTGTCTGGCTTTACCTGTTACATAGTAAGGGACAGAGCCTTAGGTATTCTCCAGGACAGGGCAACCCACGTTGCTGCATTGTGTCA